TCACGTCTCATTCATTGCCCTGGGCATAAGTTCACGGTCCGGCGAGCATTGGGCAAATCAATCAGCATGTTGGATGGAGATTGGAAGGATCCTTGATCTCAGCCAGCCCTCGATCATTAGAGCTCCACTTGCTGATCACCTTGGATGTTGTCAAGAATTGGAGATAAGAGCCAGGCAAGTGCAAGGATTGTAGTTAGTATCTGTATCTGACTTCGTCTTATCAACAATAGATTTCGATTCTTGTCTTCCTTTCTTTTTTTTTTTTTTTTTTTTTTTTTTTTTTTTTTTTTTTTTTCATTTTCCATCCAGCCACCAGACAAACTCGGTGTGGATTCAGAGTCGGCAGACATTCGGTAGGCCGCCGCCCCTCTTCACAGGGCGACTGCAGTAAGCACGAAGTGAGAACGCTTAAAAACCAAGGTCACCAAGAACGAATGGATTTCCTATCGGGCAACACAAACCCCGCTTGGTGGCTTTCCAGTTGCAGCGACATGCAGATTCCGCTAATGGCTTAACCTCTTCTTTTTGGCCCGAGAATCATGTTGCCGCAGTTACACTACTTATTCTTTTTCTTTCTCGCTTTCTTTTCTTTTCTTTTTTTTTTTTCTCTCTCGTAGACTTCTTACTGTACGAGTTCTTGGTGCTCCACTGGTTCTCTTTTAGTGACTAATGATGGATGGAATTGGATGGTTAAGGAACTTCCGATCGGGGTAACAAACGGAGCATCATACTTGGCGGGAAGGTCTCACTGCTGGCAATGTCTTAGTTCTTGGTGGTGGTGGTGGTGGTGGTGGTAAATGATGGTGGTAGTGAGGGAGATACGACATCCAGTCAGATGACCGTTCCTGGCACAGGCACACGAACCACATCAGAACCAGTAGTAGTAGTAGTAGTAGTAGTAGAAATCATAACCCACGGGCACCAAGCAAAAGGAACAACAACAATATCAACAATGAAAACGACCAGACAAGTTAGTGCGGAGTACCCTGTATCGATGTCCCCCCTTTCAAGGTAGTATCTCTCTTTATCTCCCCCTACCGTGCAGCTTGCAGGGGGGAAAAAAAACAAAAACAAACACAATGTATCGTTAAACGGCTTATTATGCCAGGACAGATCAGAGGGTCACTCGGTGTTTCAGGTATATCCCGGTTACAATGCTTGCAAGAACATGCAGTAGGTCGATACTTAAATGCAGAGTGATGTGTCCTGCTTAGCTCGATCAACTAGCGGTACTAGTAAGGAATGGGAGGTTCAGGCATCAAGGCCCTACCATTTCTATTAACAATTATATCAATTTCTCTAGTTATAGGAAGGAGAAGGGGATCTCAATCTCGGCCGCAGAAACCAAAATGGCGGGCGGGCCGGGAAATTTCCAGTTTTCTGTGACCAATCATGGATTTATCGTCTATCCTGGTGAGGGATAATTGCTATGGTGGTTCTTTATCCCTTGCCTTCCTTTTGGACTTTTTGATGTGTTGTTATCCTTTTTGAGGGGCACCATTTTGGTGATAAGCCGGTAAGTAGGTATGCGCCCGAATGATAATGCGGGATTTAGCTGGAGGTCTCAAGGGGGACGAGGGAGATTGATTGGCTTGGGTCGGTTCCTACCTTTTTGAGGAGGTTCGGATATAAAGCCCAGGCTGACTAGTTACTACCGTCTCACTAGTTAGTGGTCATATAGGTGTAGCGATACTACAATACTATATTATCTAGCCCCTGGATGGTTGCGACCGGACCCAAAGAGGGTAAGCTGGTGAAGTACGGAGTCCGGAGTAATTGCTCCCAGTTTCTGCCTAAAAAGTACGATGTCTGAACCCCAAGATAACACCAGGGGAAGGAAGATCTGGGTTGAGAATGAGGCGCCGTTTCCGACCGATGACTGTCCGAAGGAGCCATGTCCGCAATGATGAGCTCTTACTATTCCTTACTAGCTTGATACTATGGAGTACTACTCTGTAATACTAGCAGTCTAGGTGAAAAGGCCACCTGACATGTTTGCGTGCGAGAGATCCATGGCATGGCTAGACTACAGTAGTAGACTAGACGGTTGCTTCGGTGCTGCCCACTAGTGACTAACTACTGTATGTACTCCACTCTTTGGTTTCCCCGGATATAAGGGATTCGCCGTTTGAGGCGGGATTGGAACATTCAAGCGCGCTTTGCTCGTGCTAGGTTGATAGTCCCTAGCAATTGGCCCATAGCCACCAATAGCGTAGCAGAGAGTGTTTATTTGGAGAATCAGATGGTTCAACCTCTCACCTAGATGAGTATTTTGGGTCTTGTAGCTAATGTCTTGCAGACACTCAACCACTGCAGTCATCAAGAAAGAATCCGTTGGTAGGAAGCTCGTCCATCATCTCCATGGAGGAGTCAGCATCTACCACTCCGTTTGCGTCGTAGCTACCAACATGTCCGTGCCAGGTTACTCCCCAGGTTTCAAGGCTCCTGGGCTATATATTAGAGAGGACCGTGCGGTTGGGCCATCCAATGGCAGGAACCTTGTCAGAATATCTGGCTTTTTGGACCTGGATCTCTCAACTCCGCATTTTCGCTGTCCCCGCTATTAAGATACACGTCAACGTGAGCTAGTCGAAAGCGCCACTGATTTAATACAACGGTCGACCATGACGCCGCTTAAGGTAATTGACAGCCGTTGACATGGTACGGAGTGGTGCAAATAAGCATTAGGCAAACCAATGGTCAGGCACCCCGCGTAGGTTGGTCGGTCGGTTCGATGGCGTTCAGGCCAGCCATTGCAATCCCTTGACAAGTTGTATTCTATTATCATTAGCTAATTGATTAGTGGCATCATGATGGGTCTATGACATGCGTTCCTTTCGGCTTTTGCTCGGATGTTCGGATTAGCAGTCCAGCATCCAGGGATAACAAACAAATATACCATCAGTGTTAGTAGCATAACGGCACAGTATTTAACCCAGCTTTCGACAGTTCGGCATTCGTATGAACCTCGTTCCGACTGAATGATAGTCGGGTTAGAACGGTGGAACCGCGGTTGACGTCCGATGCTGCGGAGGACACTCTCCGCACCGTATGATGTTCGTCTGGTTAATGTGTAGTAGTGTGTATAATTCGGACCCAAAGATATCCACTTTTTTTTTTTCTTTTCGTACTTTGCAATTCGATGAGCATTCAGGCAACATGCTATCGAGTCAATGCATGATTTCTCGAAATTGCTTTCCCACTTTAAGTATCTTTTTCTCGCCGAGGTACGGAGTACTCTGCGATAGTGGATCCTGGAGAAATTGCATTGGAAAGAGGAGCTGAAATTGATGCTTCCTGACTCGCTGACTCGTCAAATTCAAACTTGGCCCAGGATCCATGGTTTATGCAGTGGAAGGGAAACCACGCGAATGAGAATCGCCCGTGCTTGCCAACTGCGGCATCGGAACATACTACTACTATTGTGAATTAACGAACTGATCTGACTACGGCAGAACGTTCCCTCTTCCTTCGCCTCTGCAAAATGGAAGAATGGATGTTACTAGAAGCAAGTAACTCCGTATACTGGTACGCCAACCATGATTTAGACTGCAGGATAGGCGATGATATGCGCCCGCCGGAGCCCGTCTGTCAAGTTAGCATGGAAATGACGCGGTTGGAAGGCAAAGCCCCGAATAAGATGTTGAGATGGCGACGTTGCTTGTCGATCACGCGGGAACTCCTTACAGGGGATCTGCAATGGCACTAAACCGGGGATAGACGATAGATGGAGGATATATCCACTTCCTGGGAAACTTGCAGCTCAGGCCCCGTCTTTCTCGCGACGACCGTTGAAAATCAATGCCAGTCAAGCGATGGCAGTTGCCTTTTTGTTTTTGAAACAGTCAGACAGGAAATTGTAGATGATCTTGACAAGCTGGTAGCGAAGGGGCGGAATGTGGATGACAATTTGTGCCTTAGTACTTAGTAATGGTGGGCCTTTCCACTAAGTACAATCTCCGCATGCACCACCACCGAGTCAAACCGCGCCCGCGACTTATCAGCCGGCTTGATGTACCGTCCTCATCATCCGTCCATCTAGATAACCATTTGGGCCTGTGTGGTTTTGGGCCGTAGCTTACACACCCAACACGTGCGATCAGACATTGACCCAACCTAATGGAAACTGTATGTAGGCGGTCACTCTCTGAGTGAGACCAGTCAGGCAGGGTTGCTCACCGACAGTCGCCAGTAGCTTAGAATACGGCGGATGGGATCCCTTGTGGCTAAGCTATTGAATCTTTTGCGCTCTCCTCGCTTCGCCATCTTTACGTGTAGCAAGTCTTCATAGTTTCAGCTTGCATGCTTATTGATTATATACAAAGTATAAGTACGCTAAGCCCACGATTGTCGTGGTGTTTTGGAGGGTAGGCAGTGCCGAAATATATGCAACTAGGATTCGAGTGCATTGACCGATTCCAGAACTCCCCGAAGAATATAGCGCATGCTTACCGACCTGCGGCATCAATATTCTGTAGTACTAGTGAGAAGTATAGTAGAAGAGAGCCTTTCACTTTCTCTTTTTTGTGCTAACGGGCACCGTTGCTTGACCAGGTGAATCCTCCGTCGTGTTGTTTCAGTAATCTTCAGTAGTAAGCACAATCACCAAGATCCATCCTCATGATGATATATCTTCAAAGCGGGGAGAAACCGCAAACCGTGTCACTGAAAGCCAACTGGTATGTCGAATACTGGGCATTGCATTGCACTGCATCAATAGTCCAAATTCTAATCTGAAGATTGACTGTACATCAGTCTCGTTTGCAATTGACCCGGCATCTCAGATCACTCAGATCCAATTCAAGTCTATTGCGCTCTCCCCGCGCACCCAACTGGAACACACACATTCTTTCTTGGCTATAGCTTGTAGCTGACAAACAGGTGGCCATAGGGTTTGAGGATCCAGCACAACATATCCTCCGCACTGCTGTAGATGGATTCTGAATCGGTCTCAGGGATGAGAAGATGCGTTATCAGTCTCGAGTATCATCGCTGACATCATGTACACAACCGTAGTAAGAGAGTGAATAAGGTTCTCATCCATTGATTCGGGAGTCTGAACCTTCCCATGGTACACAACCGGGAGTGTGAGAGTGTGTTGTGTTGGAGGCTGCGACAAAACTCCGTGGATACCGGTCACTTCAACTTCACGGCATTGAGGGGGGACACGGACCGTGGCTATCGATTAGGTTACTCTTGGTGGAACAATCTGAACCGCGGAATCCCCCACGGGAGGCTTCCACTGGTTGGTTAGAGATCAGCATTCCCTGAGTCGGGACATGACCAGGAGAGTTTTCCTGTCACTGGTAATGTAGGAAAATAAAAGATTAAATCATTAGTCTGATACATGTACTCCATACACGGTCCATAGAGACTATTAGTCTAGGTAGGGTTGGGAAATTGGGGATTGGCAAATCCCCCTCAATGTTTCGTCATGCTTTGTGCGTTGGGCAAAGAATCTGGGGTGGGCGATAATCCTGGCTAAGATCATTGCAGGATAATCATCGAAAATCTTGACTCGTTTCATCAGGAGACTCGAGAAGAGACTGGAGTTTGGTAGAATCAACTTGGCAACCTATTTGTTGTTGCAGTCTTGGCATCGCGTTATCCTTGGATAAGAAGGATAATAATAATGACATTAATCGGTATTATTTGCAAACGCGATCGCCTAGTCATCCGTGGTGCCAGCGGCCGAGGTACCAATGTTAGTTACCTAGTGACTGTTACTACTACTTAAGTAGTCAAATAATACCAAAGTAACTAGTTAGTAGTACTGTGGTATAGTGTTAGCTAAGTGCTACTAGTTACTAGCTCTCTCCAGGCTGTTTCTCCGAGCTTCCGTGCTTGGGTTCAGTTCCTTGGAGGCAGACTCCATTTGGTAGTCATGGCGTGACAGCTAAGAAATTTAGCAGGCGTGTGGTCGCAAATCAGCTTCCAATTTGCTCGTCCGATTGGACTATCCAGGTTACTAGACAGTACTAATTGGTTCCAGTTGATTATGGTCTTATGCATTCAGCACGTTCTGTTGTTCTTCAGTAATTAATACTTTCTGGTATCAATTATCGATTTCTGCCGCACACCAAAGATCTGAAGAAAGCACTGCACCGAACTCCCGAAAAAGTAAAAAATTAAAAATAAAAGAAAGGAAAAAAAGAAAAGAGATAAGGAGGCGGCTCTCTATTTCTCTACTACTATTGCGCGTACTCGGCAGTTAATCACTAATACCAAACATTACAGAGATCTGGTAATGTAAGTAGGAGGAGGTCCAGCTACTTTTTTTACTACTACTACCACTCTCCGTGTCGGAGGGCCAAATCCCCCACAACGAACATCTCCTATCAAACGAGGGAAGATGGGCCGATGAGGCGAATGCAAAGACATCTTCAGTCAGTCAGACCCGCACATCGTTTATCCAAGTTCTCAAGTAGCGTCGCCTTCGATTACCTCACAAGGATGGAGCCGGGTTTGGCCATTGTAGGGGGGGGAATGGTTGACCCGCTCCTAACGTAATATGGAGGTATTATTGGGGACGAATCGTATGTGCGGTACGATGGTTACCGAATGGCAACAACGGCCGCAGAACTACAACCCGCTAGTTTCCCAGCCTAACTTTAGTACCAGTTACCAATATGTACAATATGGAACCGGACTTACCGTACAGCCCCAAAGGTGTCTTAGTCTCACCCGCCTAGCTGGTCGAATCAGAGTGGTTGACTGGTGCAGAAGGGGAGGAAAAGAGAAAAGAAAGAGTGGAAAGAGATTCAGGAGACGTTCGAACATTTAATCTACCTGATAATATTAGCTTCGATGATACGATAAGTGAAGGGAGGGCCACCCACTGGAACCGAGCAAGAATGCTCGTTTACCATTATTTCCCCCATTCCTTGTCTTTTGAGAAATACTCATAATAATAATAATAATAGTATGATGGAAGATATGATTATGGCGAGTTCTCCTTGTATTTTCTGGTATGACTCGCACCTGCAATAAGAGTCATCGTAGAATACCTCACCCCTACTTGGATGTGAGCTTTTTGAGATCAGATCAGAGTCTTCAAAAGATTTTCTTTCCTTATGCGTACGTTGCATACTACGTCCATACAATACACTTCCATCGGGTATCCCCTCGTGGATTTTTAATCGGGCGCCCCCCCAAATTGATCTCTTTACTTTTTCTGCTCCTTGTCGGTTCAACGAACTTAGATTGAACAAGAAAGCGAACGTGAGAAAGGCGAACAAAATAGAAAAAGAACTAAATACACATGGACGATTTTTAAGGATCATCACTGGATTGAACAAAAAGCGACATACGAAGGAAAGAAGAAAAAAGAATAAAAAAAATTAAAAAGAAAAGTCATAAATCAAGAAATACTAACCAAAGAATCAAAAAGTAAAAAGGAAATACAGGGCACGGTTCGGGAGGGTGTGTGCCTGGCGTTCCTTCTCGCGTTCTCTGGAAAATCCCGTCCGCTTGTCTCCGCCTGTCAAGTCAGTCGGTCTCCCCTAAAGTTGAGAGCGAAAGAGAGAAGAGTGAGAAAGTTGTAGTCGCAGCATCCCATCATTCCCTCCCCTCTCTCTCTCTCTCTCTCTCAACTCTCCCCCATTATCTCTCCCTCCTCCCTATTCTATTCCCTTTCCCCTTCTACTCCCTCCCACACCATCAGCCCCTCTTGCTCTTCTTCCCTTTTTTTTTTTTCCTTTCCCGACCCATCCTCTCTGCTTTTCTTTCCCATCCTTCCCGGCTCTCACCATCCCTCCCTCCTCCCCTCCCCCCTGAGCGGCCCGTCTTCTGCTTGATTCAGAAGACAAGGTGCCTAGGATCTGGTTATCGTTTCCTTCTCGATCTCCTATTTGGTTTTGGCATTGTTCCCTTCTTGTCTCTATTCAACATTGTTTGTTAGCTCTGCTTTTTTCCTCTTCTCTTTTTCTTTTCTTGTACATGGCTCGACCGCTCTAGACAGCTTCTGCCATCCCTGGAGCCTTGTGTTCCGCACGTCGTACCTCGTCGCCAGCTCTCCTCCCTCTTCGATCGCCTGATCCCGAGCCTTTCGTTTCTTTTGTCCTCGTCATCATTCGTTTTTTACATCGACAGAACGCTTTTCCTTAATTGTTGTATCAGTATAATTCGGTGGGGACATATTTCCTGCGAAACAGGTACGACCCCATTCCGCCGCTTGCCTTTGCACACCCCCCTTTCGAAACGGCAACCACATTCGCGTTGGAGAAACATCGGTCCTCGAGAGTTCAACTAGCCTTTGAACCGGCTTGTTCTTGTGCAATCCTGAACTGACAACTGTGTGTAGTACAGACTTTCCCCCTGTTGCCTTCTTACAATCTGTCTCCTTTTTCTACCCTTGTTACCTCTCCTCCAGACTTGATCGACGTTAGGCTTGGTTCATTTAGATTGGGCGCTGCGGACAGTCGACGAGCTTACCTGTCGACACATCTCTCCCCGGAGACGCTGTCAGCTACGCGTCGGATGTTATTTCGTTCCGGGTAGTGGAGGAGAACACCATGGCTGCGTTGGTACAGACAATCCCCCAGCAAAGTGGCACGGTTTCTGTGCTTCAAACCCGACCATCCTCTTCTTCGGGCACCTTCACAACTTCCTCGCAACCCGGGCAACAACAAAATCCGCGGAACTCGACGATGTCCTGGAACCCCTATAACAACAACGGCAGTTCGGGAAACTACAGAGTGGGCCACCAGGTCGTGGCCCCCTACGCCTTCACCAGCACCCCAAACCCCTCGAATTCAACCAACATGCAAGCCCGTCAGTCACTGTCCCCTCATCTGAGGCCAGAGCATCGCACATCTTCAGCCCCTTCGGTGCCTCAGGGGCCTGCAAGTCCCGCCAACGTCGGAGTCAACTCGCGTTTCGCCCATCCTGCAGCTGGTTCTGTATCCACTTCTTCCTCCAATTCCTCCGTCCATTCCTACATGTCGAAAGACGACTCGGCGATTCCGACCAGACAAATACGTACCGATGCTCCCTTGCGCCCGCTCTCCACAGTTAACCTTCCTTCACCCTCTTCGAATTTCATGAACATATCCTCACCAACTGTGGCCCGTCCGTCCCCCGACCGCTATCGTCGTGGAAACCGGCGACCGGAAAATGCTGCGGGCACCCAGCCCGCTTCCACGCAGCCTAACGGACCGGCACCTGCACGTTCTGCAACGTTAACCACGGACGACAGTGCCCTCCACATGAGTACTCCCAGCCTTGCGGGTGTGTCTCTGGATCCCCCCCGCCGCATTGGGCATGTCCGCGTGCCCAGTGCTGATGATACTACGCGCGCAGATAAGCCTCAGACAGAGTTAGCCAAGAGGTATAGGCGCCGGAGCTGGGGAAACATTGATAACGCTGGTCTCATCAATATGCAGCTACACTTGCCCACATCATCGCCGACGCCGACAGCAGGTGGCCATGACTACTTCGATCAGAGCACGCGGCCCCGATCGGCACAGTCTCACAAAGAAGTCCAGGGAAGCATTCCGTCCGCCCATTCTTCGACTTCATCTGTACGTGATGCAGGACACAGCGAATCTGCATCATCCTCCAGTAAGAGCGGTCCCAAGACCGATGACAGCAAGCGACCGAACAAACCCTCACCGCTGTCTCAGCCGGTCGAGGTTGACTCTAAGCCCCCGACTCCCAAAGCATCCCAGCCTTCCACAACGCCAAACCCTGCTCCCACGGAGAGTCTCGCTTCCCAGCGTCTTGCCGAAATAACAAAGGGTGACCCTAAGCGACCAGGGAAATCCAGGCTGAGGAGGGCCTTTTCGTTCGGTAGCGCATCAGAGCTCCTCAAAGCTTCCTCGCAAAACAAAAGGGAAGCGATGGCTGCGGAGAGGGCTCGCAGGGAATTGCTGCAAGAGGAACTGGGTCCAGAACAGGCAGCCATAGCCGAACAACAGGAAGCGAGCGGCCTGGGCGAGAGCATTTACTCCTCACATCACCAAGGTCGTATATTCAACAGCTCCACCGACAACCTTTCCGTTTCATCGACAGCCTCCTCCGCCTCTATTATGCTACGCAAGATGGGCAAGGGAATGAAACGATCGACGCGATCATTGGTGGGACTTTTCCGCCCGAAATCGGTGGTGAGCACATCTTCGACCGATGGTGTAATGATTGAGCCCATGGCACCCCAGCTGTCCGTGGTCAACATTGAAGCGGAGAGGAAAAGCACAGCCGTCACCTCAGACTCGCAAGACCATTCTCTTGGTAACTCGTTGTTCTCTAAGGTGGAAACCGATGCAGCGAACGCCGTGACCCATGAAGATGGTGCCCTGGACAAGTCGCGTAAAAGCATTGTCGGAGGAGACAGGGAGCGAGCGGAGGTTCTGGCAGCCGTGAGGAAGGGCATACTGAAGAGTACGTCTTGGTTACCATGATATGATCCTTACGTGTGATATGTCTCGTACTAACGTCCCATATAGAGACCTACTCGGACCCGGCTAACCAGACATATGTGCTCAAATCGTCTGAAAACATGAACGGCAATGACTCGCCGCATTCTAGCGTTCCCAGCACTCCTGAAGACCAGACTCGGTCAGGCAATCGGCGAACCGACGCGGTTAAAATTGCTGGCGAGGATGATTATCTCTCAGAAGGGCGGTTCCAGACCTCTGAATCAAAGAGCGCGCCTATTACCCCACAAGCTGTGATGCCGAAAAGTCTGGTGTTCAGTCCCCGGATCCAGTTCCACGAGACATGGCCGAGTGGGGAGTACGATCGACGTGGTGACATCGCCACGTGCAACCGGTTGACTCCCCTTCTTGCCCAACAAATCAAGGAGGAGCTGAACAATTTCAAAATGGTAAGGAACTCGTCCCTAATCACCCCCTTTCTAAGTGAAGTCGATCGAGTGCTAACTATGCCGCAGGAGATGGAGGTCCACGAGACGTCAAAAATCTATACTCACTTTCTCTGAGCCGCTGCATTTCGAATGGCGTTCTTATTGCGTGTCTTGTGTTATTTACCCTTAGGAGGAGTGTTGGATCTATCAACGGCATGGTATTGAGCCTTGGTGGCTTCTAGACCTGTTTCCTTTTCGCTAGAGAGTCTTTTGGTTTCCGTCTTCAGTCCCATGCCGACTCGGTGTCTAATTGTCCGTCGAGTGTATGGACGTGACCGGGTCGCCCCTTTGTTGTGTTTTTTTTTGCTATGGGTTCTGGGAGTTATGGCGACAGCAACATTCAGGTCTTGGTCTTGTGTCGTGTTCTTTCGTTATTCTGCGCATGGAGATTTATGGGGATTCTACTACAGCAAATGAAGAATAGTGGATCGGCTAAGGGAGGCATCGCCTATGACCCGGTTCCGGATCATTTAGCTTCGATCTACGTCGCACCCAGGATTTGGGCACCGATTTACTTCTTGCGCTTCCTTTCTCCCTCGGCGGCCTGTCACAGCTCGTGCTTTTCGCTTCCTCTTTAATCGTCTTCCTTTCTCCCTCGAGCCCCGATTCCTGGCCGACCATTGCATGCAAGCCACACCGTCTCTTTGAAGTCTCGTTTTGTTCTGCAAGCGTGAAAAATGGGCAGCATCTCTTTGCACATTGTCTCATAGTGTTCATTGTGAAACGTTCTTTTGCTGTTTTCTATTTCCTGCAAGCACCGATCCTTTTTATCGACGTGTTGTCCGTGTACAGCTTTCTGAGACCGGTACACAAGTGAATGTCGCAGCATCATCATCATCATCCATCATCCAAGCATTGACTGGCAATATCAATGCAATTTTTCTTCTTCGCCCTATCTTACGCAATGCTTCCCTGGGACTACATATAGCTGGATTCTAGTTTTGAGGGTGGTTGTCTGGCAAGTCAGCAGACATCGGTCGTAGGTTGTAGAAGTGTATCCCGATGAATTCGAAACCGCGTAGCCCTCGAGCCTCTGAAGAATTCCATTATGATCTGGCTCTGTCAGACATAGGGAGAGGGATGGAGGGAGACAGTGTAATTCTGCTTCAGACCATAGCCACCGTGTTGC